TACGCAATTCTAACAGTTACAATTCACACAAAACAACCGTGTTTCAAGGAGAGGAAGTCCGCGGCAGCCGAAGAAACCAGAAACCTCTGTGCAGTAGCATTGTCCATAGAGCTTTCTGGAATGATAGAAATGTTCTTCATCAGTACTTTACTTCAGCCACTAGCCACACTGAGCAGCTAAAATGTGACAAGGACAACTGAGGAACTGAGGTTTAGTTTGAGTAATTAAATTTACTTGCTTTCTATTATTTATTTATTTTTCCTTTATTTTATTTTATTTTGTTTATTTATTTATTTATTCATTTTTGGTACTGGGGATCGAACTCAGGACCTTGTGCTTGCCAGGAAGGCGGTGGAACCACAGGGCCACATCCCTGGCCCCTACTTTACTTTTTAGATTCTGGAGATGGAAGTAGGGAACACTTACTTTACATTTAAACAGCCTTGGTGTCTTGGAATGACTGCCCTGGATTGCAAACTCTGTAACGCAGACTTGCCCACGAAGATGGGTCCAGATATTTGAAATGTGCCCAACTTATGTATATACTATATTTTGAGAGTGTGGATGTAAGAAGTTTAGAAGTTAAACAGTGATGTGAAAATAGCTTCCTAAATGAGTTTTCCAGAAGAAAAAGTTTAGCATCATGTAAATTAAATATAACATTATTTTGTACAACAGTGTTGAAAGCGATTTCCACCTTTGGCAAAGGTACCAAGGTGAAGCTGTTTCATTACTATTGTGTTTGAATCACATGGCTCTCATGTAAGGATTTCTGTAGCTAATAGCTGCTTTCACATAAAAGATCTCCATGTTCCCATTGCCCTTGATTTTAGTAAGCAATCGATCCCAGGGGACAGAGTGGGGCCTTTGATTAAGATAAAGGAGAAATAACCACCAAAATGTCTTCTCCCCTTTGAATGAGGACTATTTTGGGACTCTGTCCTCTTTGGCTGGATATAGAATTCTAAGTTACAGATGTAGTTTCTTTCAGTACATACAAAATTATTGTATAACTTCCATAATTTCTTGTGAGGAGTCAGCTGTCATGCAAACTGGCTTTCCCTTGTAAGTGAGGCACAGTCTTTCTCTCACTGTTACCAGGATTCTTTTCTTTGTGTTTACTTTTCAGAATTTTATCATGATGGGTGCTGGATTCATCCTATTTGTGGCCTGTGTGGCCTCATGCACCTCCATGTTTATGGCTTCTGAAAAACGTATGTTTCAGCCAAAAACATATGTTTTCAGTGCCTCCCTCCCCACTAAGCCTTGACTGACACCTGAGAGGAACAACTCCTTGTTACTAAGGGGCAGGGCTAGCACCTCAGCTCCCAGGGGGTTGCTGCTGAGCTTTTGCTGGCTGGAATACCCAGGACTGTGTCGTCACTGCTACAAATGTGCCCTCCGCTGGCACTTGCTTCAAGGGTGGAAGTGTGCTGTAGTCATTCTGCTGGGCAGAGACATAAGTCTGGACTCCACACTGAGCCTCCTGGGACACCTGGAGGACAGGCTCATCACTGCCTGTCAGGACCGGACGTCCTAGCTACCCACCTAGCCTTCTCTGACATGACCTAGGATGTCTGGGTGCTTCACTGCAGCCTGGCAGGGAGAGAAGTTAGGCTTCCCAGGGGGACCTTGCTGGCAAGGGCAGATGCGGCCACAGTTTTTCCATGATGTTTGGCTGCACTAGAGCAAGCAGAAAGTTCTCCACCTTGCTAGGGTGCCCCTTTCCTCCTCCTTTGGTTAGAGACAGCAGGTTGTTCCTAGCTGCTTTTATTTGTCTATTTTATTTTTTAAAAAATAAATTGATTAATTGAGCTACTATCTGGGGCCTTTGCACTGAGTCACACCCCCACTTATTTATTTAGAGATAGTTAAGTTACTAAATTGTGCAGACTGTGTTTGCACTTGTGCTCTTCCTGCCTCCCACCATACACAGTGCTGGGATTGTAGGTGTGCACCACAGTATGGCTATAAGTGCTTTATTATTATCGTTAGTGTGTCTTGTTGGCTTTTCAGGTTTGTCAACTCTTTTATGTCCGAGTCTTGGACACATGAGGCAGAAAGAAAGCATAACACTTGGGCCACCATGAAGCAGAGTTCTTGCTGAGCCAGACCTTCCTCTGTCCTCATTAAGTGTACTTTGTCCTAGTGTACATTTTTCAGTGGATATTGTATTAGCCCTGTGTTCCTGAGGAGGGAACCGAGTCTCGGGGAAGTTGAGTCATGCCATCGGAACACTTGGGTGCTCACACTTCCCACGTTCCCTGCTGGCTCCGGGAAGAGGACACCTGCGGCCAGGAAGCAGAGTTTGGGTGGTTGAGCAGCAGGACCGGGCTGTGAGTGCTGGACCACCTGGTGGACCCCAGGGAGGCCTCAAGAGTGTGGCTGGGTGAACGCCAGTTAATAATGATTAGCACATGGGCTGCACACTTCTGTGAGAGAAATGAGCATTTCCATGTGACTCCACTGGGAGCCCCCCACCCCCCGAGGTTGTGTCTTTTTCCTCCAGGACCTCACCCTTCATGCCTTTTCCGCTTGCCGGGTTAATACGTATTTTCACCTCATAAGTTATAACTCTGAGATGCTGTTGTCTCCCACTGAATCTGGAAACCTTATGATGGTCCTGGAAGCATGGGGGAGGAGGGACCTTCTTCCACTGGGCTGTGTGGGTCCCTGGGGTGTGGACTTGGGCGATTTACGTTTCCCAGTGCATCTTGCATGTGCTGGTTCGCCGTGTGACACTCAGGCCACCGTGGCTGGCTTCCTTTGAGCACACAGGTTCTTTTTCACAGCACTGTCTTGAACCTTTGTTATTTTTGCAGAAATCTCTTTTCGACTACAAAGATGAAAACCTGAAGATCTTCCTTAATGTCAAAGAAAACCAAACTCAGATAAAGCCATGCTTTGTGCACGTCAGGGAGGAAGACAGACTACTGATGCCATCACGAGGAGAGAGCAGGGAGTCTCCAGGACACACCTGGGTAGAAACCTTGCATCAGCATCAGGCTGAGCCTGCAGGTCACGGGCTCTAAGCCTGTTAGAAACCATGGCCCTTTATCACAGCAGTTTGGATAGGAAATGCATCATCAGGTCGTACTCTTAGGAAATATGATGATGACTTGCAAAACATTCCATGTATATAGTATAAGCCTGAGAAGTTTATAAAGTGATGACAAAATTACCTCTTGGTCTCCGGGAGCATTCTCCTGCCATCTGCTACACTTGGGAGGGGCTGGTTCTCACCTCCCACCCTGTTCCCAGGAGCTTGAGCGTCCCTGTGATTTATGTCATCTGTGTGTCCCTCCCTGTGTCTTCCCTAAATGCAAGCTCAGACCAAAGCCAGTGCTGCTCTGGGCCAGAAGATCTCAGGAGGCCTGTCAGTCTCTCCAGGGCTGTGGTCCTTTCAGACATCAATCCAGGAGGCCTGCTGGATGACTGAAATTAAGTCATATAATGTTGTAATGAAATTTCATAGTGCGAAGCTCTTAGTTATCCAGGGGAGAGGATATGGAGCTTGTGGTCCTCTGCACCCTCTGTAACCTTCACATGGAAATCAGATTTTAACGCAGTCAGGGCTTGCGGGCTGGCTCTTCATCCCTAGCAGCCTCGTGACTGCTATCTTGGTGACCTCAAGGCCCTTGTGGGCAGCACTTCGAGTTGACACCTGAATCAGTACTTTTTTAAAAAATGTTTTTTTAGTTTATGAAAAAAATTTTTTCATAACAAAATAATAAGAGATTAAGAATTAATACATGGGGTATCATTATCTTCAAAGTGGTTACTCAGAGTACTAGACATGAACCAGAAAGATCCTCTCTTACAAAGAAGAAACAGAGACTAGAACTAAGAGAAATTAATAGCATAAATAAAGCAAATTAGAATATACATTAAAATATCTTTGAAATTATGGAAGAGGTAACGGTGAATTTATTTGAACTCCTCCCTACTTCCTATTTATTGATCTTCTATTTCTCTCTTTCTTTCTTTTTTTTCTTTTTTTTTTGTACCAGGGATCAAACTCAGGACCTTGTGCTTGCAAGGCAGGTGATGGAACCACTGAGCTAAATCCCCAGCCCCCTAGTTCCCTCTTTCTATATATATATATGTGTGTGTATTTTTTCTCTTATAGGAGAAACCACGTGTGTCTAACTTATTTTACTGAACAAGTGAAACCAATATGGAAATCAGTGTGGAGATTCCTCAGAAAATAAAACTAGAAATTCCATTGGACCCAGCTATTCCCCTTTTATGTATTTTCCCAAAAGAGTTAAATTCAGCATTTTACTGGGTACATGCACAACCATGTTTATAGCAGCACAATTCATAATAGCTAGACAGTGCATATGTCCATCAACAGATCAATGGGTAAGGGAAATGTGATATTTATACACAATGGAATACTATGCTGCCATAAAGATGGGTACACTTGAGGTATTTGCAGGTAAATGGTTGCACCTTGAATCGGTACTTTCTCTCTTTCTTCCATGGCCTTTGGCTTTGTGTGGAGACTTAAGTAATGATCAAAGCTCCAGGAATGGGGCCTTGAACCACCTTTTGCTCTCACTGATGAGTGCGGGGGTGAGGGGCCATGTGGAGACTCCGAAATGACACCTCAGAATGAAGGTCTCTGAAATAAAGTTCCTCTCTACCATTTTGCACTCCTGTCTTGCCTGTGCCCCTCCCATGTAAGCCACAGTGCTGAGGGTGACTTCACTGCTGGAAATGTCCCGTGTGGTGCTGTGTAGTGTCCTTAAGCACAGGAAGGTTGTAATGTGACTCTTTGGGGAAATCTATTCCCAGAGAAGCTTTCACTGGGCATAAGTTACAGGGCTGAGGCAGGAGTTCAGTGCCAATGAATCAACCCTGTAATGTTGGAAAAAGCATCTTTGAATAGGTGGTCACCTAAGCCAAAATCTTGCACTGTCCAGTGACAAAAAGTTTGTGAGGGGACTTGCAGGAATATGGCAGAGTGGTAAGCAGCAACAAATCAACCTCTCCAGGATTCAGGATGCAGGCACTGGAGAGCAGCAACTTGCAGAAGAGGGAAGGAGGGAGATGGATCCCTGGAACCCAGGAAGGACCTGAAGGAAAGATTGGAACCTGCAGAGAAGGTGAGGAGGTAGCCACAGGCTTGAAGTCACAGAGACATTGTCTCTTTGTTCTTTGTGTGTGTCTGTGTGTGTGTGTGTGTGTGTGTGTACAAGCGTGTGTGTGTTTTGTTCATTTTTAAAAAAAAATTTTTCCCCCATACTGGGGATCAAACTCGACTTTGCTCTTGCCAGGCAGGTGCTGTGCTGCAGTGTTACATCCCTGGCTCATGTGTGTTTTTCTAAAGTATAGATTGTGTTTGTTTTTTTATGAGTGTGAACATTGTTTTTAGTTTTTCTTTGTTCTTGATTTTGTTTTCTCTTTCTCTCCTGTCCTCTTCATCGGTTCCCTTATGCCTGCATAATCTTCCTTTGTCCTTCAGCCTTGCTTCTAATCTCTTTCTCTCCTGTTACTTCTCTATTTTTTACTCTTACCCCTTTTAAATTCTCTGTGCTAAAGGTAAAATGATTAAGTAGACTTTTACTGTATATTTTGTTTCAGATTTTGTCCTATTGCTATAAAGTTTGTACCTACGGTTAAAGGTGACAAGTTAGTGGTTATCATAGTTTGTCATTTTCTGGACTGTGCTTGATGCTGTTGATATTACAAGTCATGCTACTTTAGCCAAGTGTCACACTGTAGCGATCAGTTGCTTTTCCTTGTGTGCCAACTCCCAGATTGTCTGGGGATATAAGCAATATCATGGACCAGTACTGAAGAACTGGGTGGATAGCTAGACAGACACCAGCCTGTAATCCCTACCACATAGAACAGGGAGGGTCTTGGGACAGACTTACAAGCCCAAAGCCAGCTATGTGTGGAAGACATCTTTGAAAAGTAATCATTTCCTAAAGAAGTTACAGTAGTGGTAACAAGGGTACCTACCATAAGCCATTTACAAACAACAATGCAGAAAACAGAAATCGAAAAAACACAGAAGCAAGATGTAATCTCATACCTCCAGCTTGCCAAGAGCAAATCCAGGGGATGATGAGGTGGAAGAAATCAAAAGCCTCCTAGCTGAACTTTCTGAAATGGTAGCAGCAGAAGTAGCAAAGCAGATTAATGAGGCTCCAGAAAAAAAAAATCAGAAATAATTCCACGGTTCACTAAAGAGGTGACAACCATAATGAAGGGCATAGTGAATCCACAGTAGATACAGATTTTTAAGAAATAGAGCTCAGGAAGGTGATGGAAATCATGAACGCCCTGTACAGGAAAGAATTGGAATCCATGAAACAGATTCAAACAGATAGTCAGGAGATCAGAAATTCTACTGAAAATATACACAGCAGAATCAAACAATGTGAGGACAGACTATCTGATCTTACAGGTTTGTAGTTAGCAACCACCAAAGAAAGACTTCCTAAAAATAGTGAGGAACCATGGAAAATCAATCCAACAGCTGCTAGATGAAGCAAAAAAGAATAACATAAGATTAATCAGGATCAATGAAACATCAGATGAAAACACAAAGAATATTAAAAAAAATCCTGTTCACTAGAAAAATAGAAGAAAACTTCCCAAGCATGGAAAAAGTAACTTGACATGCATATAAATGAGGCATACAGAACCTCAATAAGCCATGATCAGAAAAGATTACACCGGCATATAATAGACAAGATTCCAGAAATTCCACACAAGAACAGAATATTAAAAGCTGTGAGAGAAAAGAAACAAATTACTTATAAAGGAAAACACATCAGAATCACAGCAGTCTTTCAACATAAACCACTCTAAAAAAATGTTCTGAAGGACGTTCTAGAAGAAGACAATGAGGACCATAATCCTACAAGTCCCAGCAGAATGAATCCTCCTGGCAAATCAAGCAATTGAGGGGAAGAGAAAGAAAGGGAGCCAACAACAGGAAAATAACATGACCAGGATAAGTCAACACATCTGAAGGTATAACCATAAATGTGAACAACCTCGATTCACTAATCATTAAAAAAAAAGACTGCCTAAGTGATCAAGAAATAAGATCCAATAACATGCTGCATACAAAATAATTCTACAAGTCCCAGGAGAATGAATCCACCCGGCAAATCAAGCAATTGAGGGGAAGGGAAAGAAAGGGAGCCAACAACAGGAAAATAACATGACCGGGATAAGTCAATACATCTGAGGTATAACCATAAATGTGAACAACCTCGATTCACGAATCATTAAAAAAAAAGACTGCCTAAGTGATCAAGAAATAAGATCCAATAACATGCTGCATACAAGAAACACATTCAACTAGAAAAAGAAATTTATAGACTGAAATTTAAAGGATGAGTTACAGGACCATTCATGGAGTTTATTGTCAATGAATCAACATTGCATACTGTATATGCACACCCATGTTTATAACAGCACTTTGAAATAGCCAAATCTTAGAAGTAGTCTAGATGCCGGTCAATGGATGAATGGTTAAAGATGTGGTTTTTGTATACAATGGAGTACTACTCTGCCATAAAGAAGGATAAACTGAGACATTTTTAGGTAAATGTATTCACCTGGAGACCATACTTTTAAGTGAAATTAATCACACACATATGTTTAAATATTACTTTTTTTCTTTTGTGTGGTAAACTGAAAGTGTAAATAAGGACCTAAATGGATGATAGATATGGGGAAGTAGGAAGAAAATGTTCAAACTGCAAGGAGAGCAAGGGAGGGAGAAAGGAAAGAGAAGTAAGAGAAAAGAAAACAAGGAAATAAAAATGGAAACAAAGCTTTTGTAAATAAGGAAGGGAAGAAGGATTGAAGGGAGGGAAGGGGAAGGGGAAATAAAGAATCATGATATATTTATTACACACAGGTATAAATTGCTCACGATGAATATGATTATTATGACATGAAAGTGGACCAATAGCACTAATTTAAAAACATCTGTGACCACAAGTATACAGTAACTGACTTGACCCTGTCTTTTGCCAAAAACAATGGTTCAGTATTTGATGATTCAGCACTGTGGCAACTTTAAAGCATATAACAACTATGAATATAATGAGAATTCAGTACTACTCACTTTTATTTGCTTGTTTTTCAATCCTTGATTACAGAAACATTTATAGGCACTATATATGAAGTAAAAAATACACAGATGAACAAAATGTAATTTTGCCTTTGAAACAGAGACAACAAAAACCAGTGAGAATACAGTGTAGTGAGTATTGGTGGAAATACAGTCCCACTGTGCAGTAAGAAACACAAGTAATGGACTTATGATTGCTCCCTAACAAGAGTAACCAGAACTTTCATCAATAACAGCATTATTGAGATTCTGTCCAATTTTTTCCTGTTTTAATTGAAAGGGAGGGAAGCTTGACAAAGCTTACTTATGTGGAATATCACTACCACAGAGGACCTGGGCAGTGTCCTTGGGAAGTAACCCTGGGGAAATGGTTACAAGGAAGACAGAAACTTACTGCAAGTAGTTCACTGATAAAAATACTGTTTCCTTTGGGAAGCTCAGGAAAAATACCAATTATGCTTTGGTATTATAGTTTTGAAAATTAACCTAAAAAAGATGAAGTGTTACTCCATGATCAGTTTCAACAGACAGCGGGAGAAGAAATGGAAATAAAGATTATCTGATTCCAGAAATTAAAAAAACAATCATAAAGCAATCCTTTGTGCTATAAGGGAGAAAAATAGAAATAGATAAATAGAAAGAAAAATAAGTATTTCCTCATTTCACAAACTTAATTCTGATGTAAAAAAAATTAACCAAAAAGATGAAGTGTTACTCCATGATCAGTTTCAACAGACAGCGGGAGAAGAAATGGAAATAAAGATTATCTGATTCCAGAAATTAAAAAAACAATCATAAAGCAATCCTTTGTGCTATAAGGGAGAAAAAAAGAAATATATAAATAGAAAGAAAAATAAGTATTTCCTCATTTCACAAACTTAATTCTGATGTAAACCAATTCCCTTTGTTACTTTCTCACATACTTCTTTAGGATCTCTCTCTCTCTCTCTCTTTCTCCTTTTTCCTTTTGCTTTCTGCAATTTTGAAGAGTCTAGAGCTTGTTTGCTTTATTGCTAGTTATGCAATACAATACTATCCTTTAGTTTTGTAGATCCTTTACGCTATCTTTGAGACAGAATTAAACCCTATCAAGTTAAAATTCATTAATTGTGATGCGCTTTCAAAGTAATCAAAATGTTTTAAAGAAAAAACGATATTTTACACTCAGTATGCTTTAAAAATATAACAACACACAGTTCTCCATATCATTTTCTCTGCATTTTTGTTTTATTTGTATTTATCTATTTGGTTACTTATTTTTTATTCATTAAGTTTTTGGTACATTTTAGGTATACATTATGATCACATTCATCTTGGGGATTCTGTACCTCTACATGAGATATCTTGGTTTTTGTTTTTTCCCACTTCCCTTCTGTCCCTCATCTCTATAATGTAACTTTGACTTAAATATTATTTGTATTTTTAGGCTAAAAGTTTTTCTAAATCTCTTTGGCCCATTAGCAGTTATACAGGGGATCATGTGCACACTTTCCTTTCCTTTATACATACAGAGCTTGAGATTTGAAACTTTTATTACCTTTAGGATGGACATTTTCTAATTCTCAAAGACATATAAGAGATGGCCAGAAAAATTCTGCGTGCATTTCCCTCATGCTAAGCTCCATTTAATTTTTTTCTTCAGCTGAGTGACATCTTGTGTAACGTTAAATAGCTTTTCTTGTATGTGAAGAACCGTGAAAGGACTGAAATTTTACCATCCTTGCAAGCTACAGTATCATCCATTTATCATTTAGCATAAATGGACACAAGACTCCTGAGTAAGAGACAAGGGACAGAATATTGCTCAGAGCAGTTGCAGCGGCCACAGCCACTAGGGTGACAGCTGCCTGAGCTCCAGTCCCACAGGGTCATACAGAGGGTCAGCTGACACCTGCACATGAGGAGAGGAACTCTGGCCTTCAAAGTCCAGGTTGTTCACCATGTTCTCCTTTGCTCCTCAGAGGCACTGTCTCG